CCCAGCCAATCTGTTGGTACAAACAAACTTTTACAGTTATAGCTTCGGAAATAAGCGAAACAGGTTGGTTAAACTACCGTGACGGGTAGTGCACTTAAAGCTATAATGGTAAAAGTTAGTTTTTTACCTACATGGGAAAAATCCAGCTGGGAAAAATCCACATTGTCATGGTATAGAGAAGAAGATTTGTTAAGGCAGTCTGATAGTTGGTAAAGTCGCAGGATGATTGCTTGGGTTTGAGTCCCTGCTAGTCAACAAATTCCCCCCCCCCCATGGCCTATTACATTTGGCAGTAAATTGACACCCATGTTACCATGATTGTATTTAATAGCTCCAGAGTCTGTCAGTGATTATGAAGTGCCTGCTGTGCCTATAGAAAATTCTGGAACAAATTTCAATATGTACTGTGGAGGAGTAATTATCACCGTATAGAATGGTTCAATAATTATGGGACAAGATGTTGAGACATTTTGATAGGTTACAGCTGGTAGAGTTGCAGAATAATAACAGAAAGGACCTGGGTTTGAGTCTTGGTCAGACTGTACATTTATCTCACTAAGTGTGACATTTTTAAAACATTTTCTAAATCAGTGTTAAAATTCAGAATAAAGAAGAGGCCTGCTGCTTTATCATAAGCCATACAATTATACAACGTTACATAAAACTAGGTATAGGTAAAGGTTAAAGCTAAATGTGCCTCTATAACTAAATGTGTTAACTGCATTGCTGCAAAAAAATCCCAATATATATGCATATAATTCACCTGTTTTCTTACAGTCAATATAGGAAGCAACCTACATTTATAATCAGGTGTACAGTGAGTCTTATATAAATATAAACAGTTTGATGTAAAAATTCTGGACATTTCCAAAATCAACCTTTTAAGGCTATTTTTTGAAAAATGGAAAAGGCTCCTGGCTTAAGTTTTATTCGGAAAGTTATTTTACATTATTTTGAAAAAAAAATAAAAAAAAAAAATAGAAAATATGTAATGGTTAATAAACCAAATAGATAAAAAAAACCCCAGAAATTTGCCTTCATACTGATACTGGAACATCATTTTAGTCACCACAGTGATAGATTAGAACAACCAATTATAACTTGCCAAATTGTGAAATTTGAAAAACTTATTTTTAATTTTAATACAAACATTTTTTCCCAGATGATAATAGAATATACATATAATATTATAAATGTTTTTCATAAAAAGCCAAATGAGCTGTCTTAATAATTATATTGCGTGGTTGGTGGACATTTTCACTATTGTGTACATATATTATTTTCAATAAGCCTGGGCTTTTTTTAAAGTCTTTTCAATTGGTTAAATTTGCCTTTAACACAGTGGGTGTGTAATTGTATGTGAATAAGGCCATCCTTAAAAAAATGTTTGTTTGCAGTAACGCGACCGACTCACAAAATTTGCCCCTACTCAAATTTTTTTTCGTGGTCTGGATAAAAAAAAATTTTTTTTTGAATCAGAAAATTATGCCTTGTGCTTTAAGGTTAATAGAAGAAATAAAATGTAGTTCTTATTAAATTAGAATTCAGTTATCAATTTATTAATTGTTACCAGATTATCAAAGCATATAATTATTGTCCAGCATTTTGAAATTCCATGTTTATTTGGGATAAATGTTCAATAAAAAAAAAAAAAAATCGACCTACCTACCCACCTTGAAAATTCTGGGTCGGGTTACTGCAAACAAACATTTTTTTAAGGACGGCCTAACTGTACTCAACTTTTGAAATTATTATCTTTACTGTTATCACTTTTATGTATTAATTATATAATTAATAACTTATATTATCTCTTTTTATCATTCTATATAAGTTTAATATATATTATAATAGTAGAAAGATGTATAGATGATAAAACAACTTAAATATTGAGCAGAACAGACATTTTATTAGACTACTTGAACATAAGTATATCATCTTAATACAAATAATTATTAATGTCAATTGAAGCTTAAAATTGAAATTATTAAAAACTTTTCTCTATTATCACTTTATATGAAAATAGTATATATTAACATGCTGACAATGAAACCCCTCTGAGATTTGGAAATCAACTTCTGTTGGTTGTTGTTTTTGTTTTTTTTTAATGCGAAAAGCACACATTTTTAAAGACTAGTTAAATTTGACAAAATTTTGTTTTGTGATCACCTCCGAAAAACTAGAATAGTGTAAACCTCCTTTGGAATATCCATTATCCCTTGCTGATATTTTGTGACTCAATGTAAAAATAATCAAAGGGCTGCATGCTCTGTGGTTTTTTCTGATCTTTCCTGTATAAGTTTATTTTTATATACTATAATTCATCTTATGCAGCGACTGCCTTTAGATTTTTTTCTATAACAGTTTGAGATTGATACATATGGAATTTTGCATGCCTAGAGTAACATAAATCATTTTTCATTTTTAGCTCACCTTGCACAAAGTGCAGGTGAGCTTTTAGGATGGCCAACCAAATGGCGTCCGTCGTCTGTCGTCCGTCCACATTTTAAATATTCTAAGGACATCTTCTATGATACCGCAAGGCCAATGTTAATGAAACTTGGCAGGAATACTCTTTGTATGAAGCTCTATCAAGATTGTTCAAAGAATTCCATTTCATGCAGAACTCTGGTTGCCATGGCAACCGAAAGAAAAATCTTTAAATATCTTCTTTTAAAGAACCGTAAGAGCTAGAGCTTAGATATTTGGCATGAAACATCTTCTAATGAGTGTCTACCAAGTTTGTTCAAATAAAAGCCCTAGGGTCAAAAATGGCCCCGCCCCAGGGGGTCATTGATTTTCCCTATATGCATATAGTAAAAACTTAAAAAATCTTCTTTTAAAGAACCCAAAGAGCTAGAGCTAAGATATTTTGCATGAAACATCTTCTAGTGAGTGTCTACCAAATTTGTTCAAATAAAAGCCCTTAGGTCAAAATTGGCTTCGGCCCGGGGGGTCATTTATTTTCCCTATATGCATATAGTAAAAACTTAAAAAATTTTCTTTTAAAGAACTGTAAAAGCTAGAGCTTAGATATTTGGCATGAAACATCTTCTAGTGAATGTCTACCAAGTTTGTTCAAATAAAAGCCCTGGGGTCAAAATTGGTCCCGCCCCAGGGGGTCATTGATTTTCCCTATATGCATATAGTAAAAACTTTAAAAATCTTCTTTTACAGAACTCATAGAGCTAGAGCTAAGATATTTAGCATGAAACATGTTCTAATGCTATATACAGGTGAGCGACCTCAGGGCCATCATGGCCCTCTTGTTTTATGACAGCCACACTTTATCCTTGGATATCGTGGCTACAACCTTAACACTTCAAAAAAAAAATGTTGCCTCGACTAGGATTTGAACCTTAGGCCTCTCACACCCTAAACGAGCGCGCTACCTCTGCACCACGGTGAAGTAATACGTATGTAGCTTGAATAAAAACAAATACATTATAATTCTAAAATTGAGAATTTCCATTTCGTGTTTGTAATCCTTATTAATTTCGAGGTATTTTGTTCACGACAAACCTGTTGTTAAACACTGATGAAAATAATTTAGCGAAAATCTTCTCGCCAAAACAGTCCTACATGTATATATTCCACTACTCGACAGTCAGAGTTATTGGTGTACTACGCTCTGGAGTATTCGGTAATCGATATAGCTAAAAATAGCATTTTTCGTTGATTAAGTTTTACGGAAATAGTCGAACATTTTTCATTGGGTAAAAAAGATATTCATCCGCGAAATTTGTGATTGTAACCTCATATTTCTACTGACTAATCTAAACTTTTAATGCACTGTAATTAGTTAAATGCCTACATTAAAAATTATTCTTTCTTTTAAATTGCTGGTTTTTAAGCAGTTTTGAGTGAGAACTACTTTGCGTTGTTAGGTCTGTGAGGAAATTTTGTGTTAGACCGTGGATGTTAGCTTTGTATTTACTGATCTTGCGATCAGAAAATACAAAAACCTGTGCAAAGCAACATCCTAAAACAGAAAAAGATTTTAGTTTTTGTTTAGAGAATAGCTGTATGGAGAGATTTGAGACTGTTTTAAGGAGACTTCTCTGCAGTCAGGTTGCACTTGACATGTACATGACTGTTTATAATACTGGACGTTTGTAACATCATTTTTCATTGGATAATCATGACGTTTTTATAGTTTTATATACACGGCTGCTGTCGATTCATGAAGAAATCTTATTTTTTTTCTCTAAAAATGATGCTCGCTGTATTATAAATTTGTTATAAAGATTGTTTACAGGTTATGTGGCCGTATATGTTTGCAATATAACCCTCGCCTAACGGCTCTGGTTATATTTACAAATAGCCCTTTCAATAGGGCCATATAACCTGTCAACGATCTTTATAACTAATAATATATAATACTTTAGCTTAAATATTTATTTCCCTGCAATTAAGTTTCTTTCAGCTAAAAAAACTTTACCCAGGACTTGTATATAAGGTTTTTTTCCCAATTGTGAAGTAAAAATTGTAATTGGTTAAATATTTCTTTATCTCAGATTAAGAAAAAAGGCTGGCAATAGATTTTTTTTTCAAAATATATAATCAATCCAGTTAAGAAAAGTAAGCAAAGAATGCTATATAACGACAACAATTGTTTTTGACATTCTATATTAATTGTCAAGAAACTTCCAGTATTTGAAATTCCCAATTGTCGTAGTTGGAAACAGTAAGTTTTCCACATTCTACTTCCGTAATGGGGAAATTAATGTACCGATTTTTTTTTATTCACAAAATAATTGTTATTTTATTATTTCATTTATTGCTACCAATTTATTTATAAACCAATTAAGATGCAAGGGTGTAATTGTGATTGTCTCAAAAATGTCCAAAAAGTTCATGTCGTTTACAGACACCACTGTAAAATATTTTTTTATTTCTGACAAAAGGTATTCTTAAAGACACAGATAAAAAAGTTAGAAGCTCTAAACTTGTCTTACATACATCACAACTTAAATTCAAAATTATTTTTGTTTCATTTTCAGATCTGTATCAGATCACGATGTCATACGCGTACTGGAAGAGCGGGAAAATGAACGATCATGCTGTATTTGATCTTTACTTCCGTAAAAATCCCTTCAAAGGGGAGTTCACTGTGTTTGCTGGGCTTGAAGAAGTGGTTAAATTTCTACAGAATTTTCACTTTTCCGACAGTGGTAAATATAATTTTTTTATTCTACAAAATGTTTGTCCAATTAAGAAAGAACAAGTGGTTTTGTTTTTAACCTTTAATATATTTGACATCTGAAGGCAGCCCACCTCCAAATATGATTTTTAAAAAATAATCAGATGTAAAAAAACCACTTAATTTTAATGCATAGGGGGCATCCGTGGCCGAGTGGTTAAGGTCGTTGACTTCAAACCACTTGCCCCTCACCGCTGTGGGTTCGAATCCTGACAGGGACTTTGGATTCTTTCATGTGAGGAAGCTATCCAGCTAGCTTACGGAACGTCGGTGGTTCTACTCAGGTGCCCGTTCGTGCCTGAAATTATGCACGGAAGGGCACCTGAGGTCTTCCTCCACCAGTAAAGCTGGAATGTCGCGATATGACCTATACTGTGTCGATGTGACATAAAACCCAAAACAAATAAAACAAACACATTAATGCATAGATGTAATTTCTGAGTTTTAGAAGCACATGTATAAAATTATTTATACACTTAAAATCAGAACCTAATGCAACGTGTGTTGCGTGACTAAGTGGTAAACACATCAGCTTAGTACTCTAAGAATGGCTGGCTGTACGTGTGGAGTCAAACCCCATTAGGAGCAAGTCATAGTTAGTGAGAAACACATAAATGAGATACACATCTTTTAATATTGGATCATTGGGATAATAATTAAATAAAACATTAAAAATTTTGTTCCAAACTTTGAATACATGCCAACCATTCAAAATTTCTTCATTATCCACTTAATTCAGATGTGTTTGACAAACCAAAATTTTTTTTACCTACTGACCTACCTTACCCTATCCAAACTGGCATGGTTTGCAAGAAGGGCACAAAGATATGCTTAAAGCTGGCCTCAAGCATTTCACAGTTTAATATATGTCTAATAATAACAAAAACCTGTTTCTTATTGTTAATTATATTATCATATATTTGTATTAGATATCTTAAAACTGGATTTAATGGTAATTATAGATACAATGTTGTGCATACATGACTCAATCAGCCTTTTTGTCCCTGAAAACACAATAGACAAACATTTTTCCTGTTACTTAATACTTGATATGTATGTGTTCTATATACTTTAAGGCAGGATTAAAAATTAATAGTGTTGTCATTCAATCAACTTTGGAAATACATGTAATTGTTAGTGAAATAACCATTGATAAAAAATTTAAAGTAAACCCTGATAATCACTAGAATCTTTATGTTATGTAATAAATTATTTGATATCTTAAAACAGGATTTAGATTTTTGATATAGTGTATTAGATATATGTTGAATGTACTTTTTTATCAATTTGATGCATAAATTATCAAAATGGTAAGATGTAGATTTCAATGATAATACATGTATATATGATTTTCCAGTATTTGTTTGGGATAGGTATATTAGGGCTATTCTTTTTCAAAATGAAAACAAAAAATAAATTCTGAAAACTACAGGCAGTAGGTATATAGCTTTAATATACACTTTAAATATAAGGTCAGATAAGTGATGTGTTATCTTAAAGTTTAGATCTGTTTATAAGTGGATCATTGATTTAAGAGAGGTTAGTTTCTAAGAAAAAAACAACAATAGAATGAGGTTTCAAGGAAGTTTAAATAAACAATGGAGAAATGCCCTTAATACTCATAGATGTTCTATTTTCCTCTTCCCCTTTAAAAACCTTCCTTTATTGTTGTGACTTCTTTGAAACAAAAACAAGTCTATTCTCTCCACTTGTTTAATGACAAACCACTTGTGTCTTGCCTCCTTTAAAGGCCAATCACTTTCTTCTTAGTGTCTTTAAGGTCCACCTTTAAAGTGGTTTCTTTAAAGACTCTACTCTATCAACTTGTACCTCTTTAAAGACCAATGACTGTTTTAAACTTGCTTTCCTTAAAGACCAACCTCTATCTTCTTGCCTTCTTATATATATGTCAAATTAGTAGTTTAAGTTATGATTTAGGTTTATGTTAAATGTGTATGTGTATATACATATTATGATATAGATTAAGGCCTAGATGTGGCATTCAACTGAAATCCCTTATACAATTTGGAGTGCTTATTTTCCTTGGGTAAAAAAGACTTTCATTACCTAAAAACAGTGAAAAAGTACCTAAATTTTGCCTAAACTTTATAATTTTTATTCACTTTGTTTCCATTTGTTTTTCACAGACATACAGTACCTGAAATCTGTATTACCATCCTATACAGAAGAAGAATTCTTTGTTTATTTACGGAATTTATCTGCGAAAGATGTTACTCTTTATGCAATGGAGGAAGGAATGGTTGTGTTCCCTAAGGAACCTCTGATTGTGATAGAGGGGCCTCTCCCAATTGTGCAATTGATGGAGACCCCCTTGCTGAACCTCGTCAATTATGCAAGGTAAATAATTATTTTTGATAATCATTGACACAATGATGAGTTTGATGATAATACAAAAGTATCTAAGTTGATATTCTGTTATATATGAGAGAAAGTTAATGATATAAATCTCTCAAGTTTACTGTAAATTTCTATTAACTCAAGCATGCAGACATAAAACTCATACAAGTCTTTAAGTTTGTAATATTTTCCTTGAAATAATTCTGGCCAGCCCTCGGGGAATGAAATTCTTAGTAATGTCTACAAACAATAGATGTAAAGACTAATAAAAGAGGGCCTCAATTGCTGCCCTCCCACCACTATAGGTTTAAAATCTGGCCAGAAAATTCTGATTCTTGATGTGAAGAAGTTATTCAGCCAGTTTAGGGAAAGCTGATGGTGCTGCACTGGTGCCAGCTCATACCTGACGTAATGCATGGAGAGGCACCTGTGGTCTTCTTACATCAGTGAAACCTGAAAGTGGCAATGTGACCTTTAGTGCCAGAAAGTCTTAAAATTAAATTTAAAAAAAAAACACACACAAAAAGACAAGACATGAAAAAAGAATACAAAGGTTAAGAAGTTCAAGCTTTATGTAAACATTACTACACGTTGTTTAAGAAATAATGTATCCCAAACTGTGATTTTATGCTGAATAACATCACTGTTTGGAGTTCGGATGCGAGGAATTATATCACGAGGGCGTAGCCCGAGTGATATAATGATGCGCATCCGAACGATAAATAGTGATGTTATCCAGCGAAAAACACTGATTTCGATATATTATTTCGATTCTAACATGACATCAACAAATAAATGCTGCCGTACCTGATATTAAGCAAAATTGTGCCTGATTTGTTTCCGTTCTTTTTATCAGTGGGTCGGATTTTATAGTGGTTATGTCTCATGTATCATGATTACGTCACATGTCTAAATATAGAACGTCAAACAGTGATTTTATAGCATAATAACACATACTTTCGGTTCTTCTCTGTTCAATAGGGGAAAATGCGGGTCGTGTTAGAATGTATTATAACATTTATTTAGATCTAATTACTGATGACTATATTGTATTTCTTTTATCTGACTTTATAGTTTGGTAGCTACAAACAGTATGAGGTTCCGCCTGGCTGCCGGCCCAGATAAAACCTTGCTGGAATTTGGTCTACGACGGGCTCAAGGCCCAGATGGAGCTCTTTCGGCATCTAGATACTGCTATCTTGGAGGTATGCTATGATATTGACATTCTTAAGGCTGTGGGTTGGAAGCCCCACCAGGGACTAGCTAGCTTATTGGCCGTCAATGTTTCTACTCTGTTGGCCGATTATGTCTGAAATAATGCACAGAGGGACACCTGATTACATTACAAATGATGATCTGAGACAGCATGTTCTTGCCAGCTGATCTTGGTCTGCACTGCTCGCATAGGTAGAATTTGTTATAGTATGTACATTATATTTAAAATGTATGATTAAAATCTGTCCTGTTTATGTATATTCAATTTATGAACAGATTTACACAATTATGATATTCTTGCAGGTTTTGATGGTACAAGCAATGTTCTGGCAGGAAAACTTATGGTACCCCGGAAGGTATAAAATCCCCATGCTTTTTTACCTAATTTTTAGCCCTAGGCCTAAAATATAAGGTAAATGGCTTGAATTACCCTCCCAAAACTTAACCCTTTTTAAATATTTTATGTATATATTAGTTTTAAAATTGGCTAAATGTGGGGAGGGGTTGCTTTTTCCATTGGCTGTGTCACTTTGAGTTGATTTGAAGCCTTTTTTGTTTACTTCTTACATATATATTTTACCCTTAAGTTTTAAAAAATTTCTAAGTATGCAAAAAATTTGTTACAAAAATTTTAATTTCAGAACATTTCAAAAATCCACCCATTTTCCGATAATGGCCACTCCAAATTTAGCTGGCCCTGAACATGAAAAGGCGCCGCCCAATTAACCTAAAGAAGCTCCTCCCAGATTTGCCATAAAACAGCTTATTTCATTGTAATTGTTAATTTGATATATGATTTTTATTTCCGATGTATTCCTTTGTATTTATTTTAATGTCAATTATTTTTGATATCTGACCACTAGTGTAACTTTGTTAAGGCCAAAACAATAAAATGAGGTTCCAGTAAATTTGAAATACCACGATTTTCTGTCAAGGTAAAACATAATTAAGTTCTTACCCTGTTGGAACCAAAAGCAATTAACCTTTTTCACCTGCATAGAGCAGTCTGACCACACTATACTGCTGGATAGAGCAGTCTGACCACACTCTATACTGCTGTATAGAGCAGTCTGACCACACTCTATACTGCTGTATAGAGCAGTCTGACCACACTCTATACTGCTGGATAATGAGCAGTTCTGACCACACTCTATACTGCTGGCATAGAGCAGTTTGACCACACTCTATACTGCTGTATAGAGCAGTCTGACCACAACTCTATACTGCTGTATAGAGCAGTCTGCCACACTCTATACTGCGTGATAGAGCAGTCTGACCAACACTCTCTAATAGAGCTGCTGGAATAGAGCAGTCTGACCACACTCTATGTATACTGCTGGATAGAGCAGTCTGACCACACTCTATACTGCTGGATAGAGCAGTCTGACCAACTCTATACTGCTGTATTAGAGCAGTCTGACCACACTCTATAACTGCTGTATAGAGCAGTCTGACCACACACTATACTGCTGGGAAAGAGCAGTCTGACCACACTCTATACTGCTGGATAGAGCAGTCTGACCACACTCTATACTGCTGTATAGAGCAGTCTGACCACACTCTATACTGCTGGATAGAGCAGTCTGACCACACTCCATACTGCTGATAGAGCAGTCTGACCACACTCCATACTGCTGTATAGAGCACGTCCTGACCACACTCCTTACCTGCTGGTAGAGCAGTCTGACCACACACTAAATACTGCTGTATTAGAGCAGTCTGACACACTCTAATACTGCTGGATAGAGCAGTCTGACCACACTCTATACTGCTGTATAGAGCAGTCCCTGACCACACTCTATACTGCTGTATAGAGCAGTCTGAACCAACACTATACTGCTGGATAGAGCAGTCCTGACCACACTCTATACTGCTGGAAAGAGCAGTCTGACCACACTCTATACTGCTGGAAAGAGCAGTCTGACCACACTCTATACTGCTGGATAGAGCAGTCTGACCACACTCTATACTGCTGGATAGAGCAGTCTGACCACACTCTATACTGCTGGAAGACCAGCTTTGAATTTTCACCTTTATATCAATTAAATCATTTAATTAAATGGACAGTTCCAAAAATGAAAGCTCAATAAGAGTGGAAAATTTAGCAGGCTAAGTGAAATTATCAAGGCACTCAAATTAATATTTACTGGAGCCTCAATATTGTTCTTATATGAATAACATTTATAATAATTTCAAGGTTGTGTGAAATTAACTCTAATGTAAATGTCGCAGTTAAGAACTGTTTACTAATATGAAGAGGAGATGTGAAGGCGGCTGGATAGCTCTGTTGGTAGAGCTGCAGAATGGTATTCTGTGGGTCCAACAATGGAGAATTAGTCAGGCTGCACATTTCTCTCACCCTGTGATAATATAAAATAAAGACTCTATTGACATATTTATTTATGTAAAAATAAAATTTATTATTTATCTTAATTGGTTTTTTGTTTGTTTTTTTGCTAATTTGCTAGGCTAATAATTGGCTCTAAATATAAGGCACTCTTAATTTTCAACTCTCAGCAGTGCTTACAATAACTAAGGCTTGCTACAAGTGCAAGTTTTGCTTTCTGAAGCTAAAGTTGCTTTTAGGTATTAAATAAAGTAATTAAATTTTGTTTTAACTATTTATCTACTACCATTGGCACTAATTTTATCCTCTGAAAGCAACATAAACAACAATATAGGAGTCAATTATAACATGAATGGTGGTAATATGGCAAACATTAGTAAACTGTATATCATAATAAGTAGGTGACCTCATTTACTTCAATCCTTTTAAAACTTTATCAGTTTAACACTTTATTAAATTCTAGTTTTTGACTGGTGAACTTTAATTATTCAGCTATAAGACGGACAGTTTTATAAGTCAGGGGTCTATTTATAAAGGTTTATTTTTTCACTCATTATTTGGTATATACACATTACATAGTTGTTTTCTAATAGCAAATTATTTGAGTGAACAATCTATTCTTATCACTATCAGATTCATTCATTGAAAAGAAAGAACCTCCATCATGGTTTTTGCTTTGCAACTGTTAAATTTGAACCTCTCTAATATCAAGAATTTATATGTGTTGGTTATATAACCAGTGACCTGTTGGAATGGAAAGTAATAAACTTATATCAACAGTATAGAGCTAGGCTTGAACATCCACAGTTCCGTCCAGTCAGGCTCTATACTGATGGCTGGACCGTTCCAAAAATGGAAGATGGTCAAGCCCATTGTAAGAACCGCAGCAGGTAAAGTGTAAAAACAAGTGATATGCAATAAAATATCTATCAATGAAACCAAATTCATTTTCCCATTTGAAACATCATACAGTTTGCATTTCAGCTTACTTAATTTTACTCTGGTATTGAAAAATAGGGTATATAATAGAACTGTTCAATAATTAGTAATTGGTTTATTGATTTAGTCCTGTAATTTGTCATGTATATATTGTTTTTCTTGTATTCAGATTCTGTCAGAGGAGTTAAGCAGTAAGGTGTGATTTTAAATTTCCTTTTAACAAACAAACAATTCATTAGCTCACTGAAACCATGGCAACCAACTTTGAAAAGAAAAAACAAATGTCTACTCTCAGCATTTCTTTTCTGTTGCCTAGCTTTGATTTTGTCTCGCAAGTTGGTCTGATGGGAATAGGGTATGGGGTGTAAAGGGGTGGGATTTTTTGGGGAGGTATGGGTTGAATAGCCAACAGCTTATGATAATTCTATGCCAGATATTGAGTGACAGACAGTTTATTTAGTGATCCAGTTATTGATAAAAAAAAAACGGCTATTTTTTGAAAATACATTTTCAATTGTTTGAAACATTATTCTATGCTGTTACTATGATTTATTTATTTAATATTTTGATAAAATTAATGTACATAATTATCTTCTTTGTTTGAAGAGTATTTTTATGTAGAATTTTAAGTTATACAGTAAATGTTGCATTTATTATTTGCCAATTTCTACTTTTATTTGCTAATTTGCCTAAAATATTTTGTCTTTGGGGCCAAAAAAATAAATGAATAAAATTTGGGAGATTTATTAAATGATAATGATGTGATAATTTACTCTAAACATGATAATCTTAAAATCTGAAAAATGGAAAAATAATAATGAACTTGACTTTGCAAAGTTAATTTGAAAAAAAGCTTTAAACTTTACATTGAAACTACGGGATATCTATGTAGCCTATATAAGGCCAGCCTGATTGTTTTCATAATAATGAGTATGCAATCAGATCAGTGTTTTATTGATGACAGCTCAAATTTTATTTGGTTGTATTAAAATCCCTATTATGAACAATGGATAGGTCTGAATTCAAAACTGGACAAGTCCATTTATATTATTTCAGGGACATCAGGGTAAACTAACTGATACAATATTTGTTGTCATGATTTCACCTGTGTTTGTACATGTTACTTTGTGAAGGAAATAGATATAATTGTTGAGTGCATTGTTGTAGAAAAATTCATGGATCGAGATCAGCTGTGCAGTTAATATAGTCCTGAAATCCAGTACACCTGAAATCCGGCACACCTGAAATCCGGCACACCTGAAATCCGGCACACCCACCTGAAATCTGATACACCTGAAATCCAGTACACCTGAGTGATCAGGTTCAAAACATTCAAACAATAAACTATTCATTGTTTTTACTACAATGCAAGAACATATTGATATCTATTTCCATTCTAACATGCTTACAAAAAGGAGAATTGGCAAAAGTATTTTGAACTAAATTGAATTGAGAAATAAATTTCTTGACTTCATTTGTTTATGTTGATGTCATATCTGATGTTCTATAGCATGACAACATTACTTTCCTTATTCTTGGCATTTTTCTGTATAATTATTCACTTGATTGCTCTGACTTTGTTTATGAAATAATGTGAAGCCTGTTAGAATATTCTGTATATATATGTGCTGTATATATATGTGTGCTTTATATGTGGACATTTATTTGGAAAACATAATAAAATTTTCAGAGATCATCTCATTTACTGTGCGGGCATATGGCTTTTACAGAACTTATGACCCTTGTAAGTGAGGGAATGACTAAAACAATTTCTTGCAGAAGTAAGGCTCGGACTTCCAGTGGTACTAAATGCTGGTTTTGTTTCATGGACAGTATTTTTATGTCACAGTTAACCTTTACCATGCAAAATATCTTAAATATGGACTTGTCCATCTTTCAGTCCGGACAAAACTGATCATTGTTTTTAGGGACAATATCAAAATATGTACAGACAGAATAGCGCTAACAGTGCTAATTATGATCAGATAACATAAAAGTGCCGGCTAATCTTGGTCTGTACTGGTTACATGGGTAGAGTTTTGATGGCTGGCAGACTTAAAGTTAAAGAGCTAAAGCATGAAAACATGAACATTAAGTCATTGTTTGAAATGTTATCACAATTCAGCATTCTAAGACTTAGATCTTATGTAATCAAGAATGAGTCTGTTGAATTGTAATTATATTTTTAAAAAAATTTATATTCCAATATATGAAACAAAAAACAGGAGCGAAAATGTCACAGTCCCCACCCTCATGACTAGATTCATAAGATTTTGTTCAGCATTGGTTACATTGTTTGCCACCTCATAATGATACCAGTAAAGTTCGGCTAGCTAGCTAGGCCACCCTGCATATCCATGTAGTCTGACCTGAGGCTTTATATTTTTTTTCGATTTCTACATAATGTATTTAAAAATTTGAATACCAAAATATCCCTCTCTTTAACAATGGACTGCTCTAAATTCAAAGCAGGAGAAGTTCAGTTTGGGTTGAGGAGTGAATATAATCTAATATAATTATACCCCCAAAAACGAAGTTTGGGGGGGTATATAGGAGTCACCAGGTGGTCGGTTGGTCGGTCGGGCGGGCGGGTGGTCGGTCCAGACGTCTGTTGCATTTTCCTTGTCAGGACCATAACTTGAAGACTAATGGTTGGAATTCAATATAACTACATACAATGGTCAAGCACATTGAGAGGAAGTGCAGTGCACAAGAACCATAACTCTATCTTGACTAATTACAGAGTTATTGCCCTTTGTTACTTTTCCTTGTCCGGGCATAACTTGAAAACTACTGGTTGGAATTCAAAACAACTTCATACAATTGTCAAAACACAATAAGGGAAAGTGCAGTGCACAAGAACCATAACTCTATCTAAAGTAATTACAGAGTTATTGCCCTTTGTTTACTTTTCCATTGCTTTCTTTGTCCGGACCATAACTTGAAGACTAATGGTTGGAATTCAATATAACTACATACAATGGTCAAAGCACATTGAGAGGAAGTGCAGTGCACAAGAACCATAACTCTATCTTGACTAATTACAGAGTTATTGCCCTTTGTTACTTTTCCATGTCCGGGGCATAACTTGAACACTACTGGTTGGAATTCAAAACAACTTCATACAATTGTCAAACACAATAAGGGGAAGTGCAGTGCACAAGAACCATAACTCTATCTAAAGTAATTACAGAGTTATTGCCCTTTGTTACTTTTCCATTGCTTTCTTTTGTCCGCACCATAACTTGAAGACTAATGGTTGGAATTCAATATAACTACATACAATGGTCAAGCACATTGAGAGGAAGTGCAGTGCACAAGAACCATAACTCTGTCTTGACTAAATACAGAGTTATTGCCCTTTGTTACTTTTCCTTGTCCGGGGCATAACTTGAAAATTACTGGTTGGAATTCAAAACAACTTCATACAATTGTCAAACACAGTAAGGGAAAGTGCAGTGCATAAGAACCATAACTTTATCTAAAGCAATTAGATAGTTATTGCCCTTTGTTACTTTTCCATTGCTTTCTTTTGTCCGGAGTATAACTTGAAGACCAATTGTTGGAATTCATTATAACTTCATACAATGGTCAAGCACATTGAGAGGAAGTGCAGTGCACAAGAACCATAACTCCATCTTGACTAATTACAGAGTTACTGCCCTTTGTTACTTTTTCATTGCTTTTTCTTGTCCGGAGCATAACTTGAAGACTAATGGTTGGAATTCAATATAACTTCATACAATGGTCAAGCACATTGAGAGGAAGTGCAGTGCACAAGAACCATAACTCCATCTTGACAAATTACAGAGTTATTGCCCTTTGTTACTTTTCCTTGTCCAATTCAATACAACTTCATACAGTTGTCAAGGACATTAAAAGGAAGTGCAGTGCATAAGAGCCATAACTCCATTTTGACAAAATACAGAGTTACTGCCCTTTGATACTTTTCCTTTTCTGGAGCATAACTTAAAACGTACTGGTTGAAATTCAAAACAACTTCATACAATGGTCAAGCACAAAAAGAGGGAGGAAGTGCAGTGCACAAGAACTATAACTCCATCTTCAGTATTTATAGAGTTATTGCCCTTTGTTCCTTTTCTTTGTATTTCTGGACTTATTACAGAGTAATTCAATAAAACTTCTTCAATGGTCAACCACATTGAAAGGAAACGCAATATACACGAACCACAACTATCTTTAATTGCCCACAACCATAACTCTATATTTCAATTCTTTTACAAGGTATTCTGTTACTAGTAACATCCTCATTTCCGAAGCAGTCTTGTGGGGGTATTAATCACATTTAGTGATAGTTCTAGTTTAATATAATCTAATATAATTTAATATAATCTATTATTTAATTTGAAGACTTATCTTACTGGCAGCTATAGAATCTTCCCATGCTATCTGTGCAGAATGAAATTAAGCAGCACATTCAAGCCATCTGATCATGGTCTGCACTGTTCACTATTCAGTCAGTACATTATATTGAAATTTACCCTAAAAATTGATGAATGGTTTTGTCTAGAGTGAAAGGTGGACTTGTCTATATAAGATAAATAAGCGATGGTAATGGTTAAAAAGCATTAAAATACCATGATTCCATACACTGAGTCTTGATGCCTTATTACTGTAAGAGGTTTGTTTTAGGGGAAACTTGTTTGTTACTGTTGGCATGGTTTGTCAAGTTAAAATTGTTAAATTTATACCTTCATTTTAGCTCCCTGTTACGTATTTTCTGGTTTGTCATTGCAAATTTTTACCTTGGAGGGAGCATCTGTTGGTGTTATTGAATTCTTGAATTCTTGATCTCTTAGTAATTATGTAAAAGTCATCATGGTTGGTGATAGCAAAATCACACTCTTTGCTTTATTTACCTCCCATTTTGAAGAGTACTCCATTTTGAAGAGTACTCCATTTTGAAGAGTACTCCATTTTGAAGAGTACTCCATTTTGAAGAGTAATATGATAGTTGGGTTGACAGTATCATAGAACAGCACCATGTATCGCTGACTTCCCTCTTGCTTTGCTTAACATTATTATTTTCACTGCAAAACCTTCCTTTGGCAACTTTTCCAAGAAATTTTTCTTGAATTACTGAACTTTTAAGCAGTTTTATTATTTGTAAATGCTGTGACTAGTCAGGTTGGTAATGGTAATGCCTCATGGCATTTCAACTGGTTATGTATGACCTGTAATTATAATAATATAATTAAAAATTAGTAAAAAGAACAGTATTCACAGAAAGCCTTCCTAAATTTGGTTTATTTTAAGAATTCTCTTTCGATCCTGCACACTGTTTCTAAAAGTCTTGTAGATCTACCTAGGCTTTAAGCAACGCAAATACCAAGTGTACTCGTTTAGGGCAAAGACTCGCTGCACTTTCATTTCATTTGACTGAAAAGTTTATTGTTGACTACATTAACTTAAAATAATAAACAGTTCCAAATTTGACCCAATAAAAGTTTGTTGAAACAAATTCAGGAGAAGATAACATTTAGAAAAAAAGTAATGTAAATGGGATTTAAAGATTATTAGATATTCAGAAATATTCTGTTTGTCATAATAATCCTAGAGAATTACATTATATAATTTAATACCAGCCATTATAATATGAATTTAGCAATGATTAGTTGTGCTTCATTTATTCAATAATATATAATTATAAAGAGCATTGCTTTTTAGTTTTACAGGATTATTTTTCTATTAATATATTTATTTATAAAAATTATTCAGATTGAAAAGCACATTTACATCAGGTCTATTTATTATAAAGTCAACTACTTTAAATTCAGTCACTGCCCTCAGATAAATTGTTAACTGTTTCTTATATAAATTTAATAATTTTTATGTTACTTATTTAAACATTTTAAACTATAAAATAAGATTTAGGGTTCTGAGTTAAGAACCAGTTTACTTGTTCATCATTCTACACAGTAAAGGGTCCATAACACTTTTAAAGCATTAATTTTTTAAGGTAGCCATTATAAAACAGGCCAGTGTATGTGTACATGAAATTTTGTAAGACTTTGTTATAACTATTATAACTGCTGGATATAGCATTTCAATATTTTGATATCAATAAACAGTCAATGAATTTAAGATTTTGAATTTATTAGCCTGAATTCCAGTTTTGATTTTATTCTACTATATATTTAACTAAATTTTCTTAAAATTTCCACTGGCCCGAACTAATTTTCACTGGGCCAGTGCTAAATTCTATGACTGTCTACTATAAACACTTTTAAAATTAACAGTTCTACATTCAAAACTTGACAAATCCATTTCATTAAGTCATCAAGATATTTGGGTTACGAGAACGGAAATGTAAGGAAATGTTTTTTTTAAGAATTATTTTTTTCGCCATGTAAGCAGATATTCCAAGTATGAATTAATAAAAAAAACATTTGATGTATCATAAAGTTTGTCTTTATTGTAATAATATTGAATATTATCATGTGAGAGCTGTTTAAACACTCTACAGTCAGTCAATTGACTGAGACGATATCGTCTGCTTGTTCAACAGAAGAATTGATTATTTCACGAGGACATTTCTATTGGAATGTCTGTAACTATGTTTTAAACAAAATGAAGCTGGGAACCGTTATACGCCTTGTTACTGAGATACCCGCTTAAGTATCGCCAATATTTACCGATTGAGAATCAATTATGTCGACCAATTAAGGCAGGCCCCCTAGTCAGCTATATTGATCACCTAATGTTCAATTGATTTTGTCATGACAGCAGAATAGAAAACTTTTTTTTTTCCTGGGACAATTTATAATGTTCTTTATTTTGTTAGCTGTTCTGTTTTTTGTTTGGTTACCCCACCTTGTCTGCATTTGGGTTTAATTGCTTTGCTTTATTGTAATTGAAGAACTTTGGGTTTTGTTTTTTTGACGTAGGCAAAGACAATTTGGCTTTGAATAGAGTGTGACATTACAATTTGTTTAATTGGGCATTCTCTTAAAGATTATTTAAAATCCAGCCATGAACTGAAATCAATCCATACTGGTAATATGTGAAGTTCATCAGCAGTATTTTGTTTGTTTCTTATCGCTGAGTCCTTTTGTATATTAGATATACTTTTATTTTAATTCCCTAAGGGTTTTCAATATCAAAGAACAAAAATCAATGAGCTTGCACTAGTGTAGAACCTTGTCAGACTGCACGGATGCGCTGGCTAGCTTGGCATAATACTGGTGGCCAAGGCTTCCCACTTACGGTTTAAGTAGGTAAAGGTTTAAGAATATAAAGTTTACTGTTGATCATCATAAGAGTTAAAAAGATTTTGTGATCTTTAAAGGAACTCCACTGAGGCCTAAAAACCTAAAAACATAAAATTTGAATTTCTTTCATAGAGCAGCTTGGGCACTTAAACAGACAAATATGCAAAATATAACTCAGAAATGAATTTAAAATAATATTTTTATGCTAATCTTAGTCTGATTTGTATGAAAATCTTTGCAACACTTCAATTTTGGGTAATTTTTCACAATTAAAATAATTATTCTGGAAAAACAACTTGAGTAAGTGATCTGAAATTTTACACACAAGTAATTGGTCTTCTATACCTACATCAAATAAAACGTTAATCTCAAAAAAATTATTTTCTGTCAAAAAACCCTGCAGTGGAGTCCCTTTAAGAATACAACTTAAAAACATCAGTGCGTGAGACCAGGGGGCTTTATGTAACAGATACCCCAGTGTGATTGATTTACCATAAAAAAATATGTGGGCCAAATACTGAATATCAGACCCTCTAACCTATAATAAACTCAATGTAGTCCTGATGGAATAATTGCTCAGATTCCACTGATAACATATTGATTACACTGATTGGTTATTGATTTTTCAATCAAACTCTGGCAGGTTTCTACAAAATAAATGCACAACCAGCAACAAACAAAACGTGCGCTATGTTACATTTAATACGAATATTAAGTATGAATTGATTGGGGCCGTTTTCTAATTATAGAATATAGCAAAGATATCTAATTATTGTTACATAATCAGATATTGTGTTGCTGTTCTCTTGACATCTTAAATGTTATAATGTAAATGTAAAGATTGACAGTTTGATTATTACCAATGCTTGAACTGAAAGTAATTAGCCGCTGCTACCAGTATAGTTCTCATACAGTCTGTCCTGAGGCTCAATACGTAATACTTAATAATTGACTGACCAACTTTATATTTTCATTTTGATATCCCTAAAAATTTTAATGGACAGTTCCAAAAATGGAACCTTTCAGAAGTATAGCTCTGGACACACTGCTTAGTGTTAAGGGTAGAAATATCACCAGTGACTATGATTCCTTCAATGTAAGAAATTTAATTACTAGTATCCAGTTAACATAAGGAGGGTTTGTGCATCTTTTTTGTATGAAAAATTAGAAGGTGCTTCTCCACCAGTAAAGCTTGGAAGTTGCCACTTAACACTAGCAATATAGCTTGAATAATTTCCCCTATTTAAGCAGAAAATGGCCTACATATACACAAATTATTCCTCAAATATTCAGATAGTTAAAATACTTTGTTAACCAGAAAAATATAGCACACAATATTTCTTATGTAATATAGTCATGTAAGTTGGAACTCACATAAATAAAAGTTCTCGCACTTCTTGTCATCTAATCAATATAAGTCTGGATTCTTCTCTATTCAGAGTCAGTACATATTTTGAAATTTTAACCCAAAATGAAGAATGGTTTGTCCAAACTGAAAGATGGACAAGTCCATTTCAGATAATTAGTGTGGCATAGGGTTAAATATCTTTCACCTTTTTTTTCAGAATCTCGCACCTAAAGATTCAAAGACAGAAGTGAACTTTGTAGAGAAATGTTTGGCATGGCAGAAAAAACTAGCACCTTGTGTTGGTAAGAACATCTTATCTTATTTTTAGTACAGAGTTGTGGCCTTTCGATACAGTACTAAGTAGTCAGTACCAAGGCTGTTTTTTCCTTCTGTTTAGTAACATACTTCATCTTTGGTTATATTGATGTCACAAAATGGGTCAGTTTGATAAATTAATAATCCCTGTGTGTCTTCTGAAGTAAATCATCTGAAAGATTTACCATTATGAGATGATATAATCTGTAAATTGAAGGTCACAGTCAGTGTGTAAAAGGGGTCATTTTGTTATTCCTGTCTATGATCTTTGTTAATTCTGTAATAGTTTGCTGTGTTTTTATTCCCAGAACAAGCTCCAGATTGTTGTTTATTTCACAACTTGTACCAGATAAATCAAATGTTTAGCCAATGTTTAGGAATATAGTAATGAATTATGAACTGGTTGAATTGTTTGTTTCAGGGTTTTTACCAGATCAAGTGAGTGTTGGAGAGTTAGCAGCTTTTATATCTTATGCACAAGCATTCCCAAATGGCTTCCTGGCATTGATAGATACATATGATGTCATCAGGTAACCTTATACAGATACCGTAGAAATGAGCCGCGTCACGACAAAACCAACATAATGGGTTTGCGACCAGCATGGATCCAGACCAGCCTGCGCATCCGCGCAGTCTGATCAGGATCCATGCTGTTCGCTATCAGTTTCTCAACTTGTAATTGAGTTGGTAAGCGAACAGCATGGATCCTGATCAGACTGCGCGGATGCGCAGGCTGGTCTGGATCCATGCTGGTCGCAAACCCATTATGTTGGTTTTGTCGTGATACCGTAGAAATATCCGTTTTAACCTTATGCTTGTAAGTGGCAACATATAGACGATTTTGAATTAGTGTAAGCTTAATACTGAATTTATCGAACGAATTGAATAAAATTATGATATGCTAGCCTCTGGCAATTTATTCAATGAGTTCACAATAAATTTATTATTAAACTTAAATGAATTTAATATTCTATTTATCACATACCAAAAATAAAGATCGCTTGAAGTGAAAAAGAACCAATTTCATTGACGCACCTTTAGTATAACACTAACAATAAGCGTGTCTTAACGCTATGTTTGTAAAACAAAAATGACGTCACGTCAAAATATATGTACTACCATGCAATACCATTTTTAAGGAGTGGCAAAAGTGGCACGGATATGTGATAAATATTACTTATATGTGACAAGCGCAGACCAAATTCAGGCAGTATATTTGTCTGCGATATTCACTTACCCTTATAGAACTTGTTTTAAAATGTCCCTAATAATGATGAATGGTTTAGTCTAAATTGAACAATGAACAAGTCCATTTAAGATACTTAGCAAAGTAAGGGTTGATAAAATATGTTTTATATCTCACTGAAAAGCAAACTAAATTGCATAAGGTGTTGACTGTGCATAATATAACTGTGGTGTAATTAAAATTCCTGTTTTCTTGGACAAACTGTATTGTGAATGAATTCTAAGGGAAGTAACTCCCTTTCTTTTTATAAGGGGTTTAATGGTTATCTTGCTTGAGTTTTGAAAGAAATTGAATTGGTACTTTACCTGTACTGTAATATTGTATGTATTGACGAATTTCAGTACTGTAATAGTGTTTGTACGGATTTACTTATTTCTGTACTGTATGTCATATTGTTTGTAGGAGTTGATTTACTTATTTCTGTACTGTTATGATATTTCAAGGAGTGAATTTGCTAATTATACCCCCAAAAACGAAGTTTGGGGGGGGTAATTAGGAGTCACCCGGTGGTCGGTCGGTCGTTCGGTCGGTCGGTCCAGACGTCCGTTGCATTTTCCTTGTCCGGAGCATAACTTGAAAACTAATGGTTGGAATTCAATATAACTACATACAATGGTCAAGCACATTGAGAGGAAGTGCAGTGCATAAGAACCATAACTCTATCTTGACTAATTACAGAGTTATTGCCCTTTGTTACTTTTCCTTGTCCGGGGCATAACTTGAAAACTACTGGTTGGAATTCAAAACAACTTCATACAATTGTCAAACACACAATAAGGGGAAGTGCAGTGCACAAGAACCATAACTCTATCTAAAGTAATTACAGAGTTATTGCCCTTTGTTGCTTTTCCATTTGCTTTTTTTTTTTGTCCTTTGCATTTTCCTTGTCCGGAGCATAACTTGAAGACTAATGGTTGGAATTCAATATAACTACATACAATGGTCAAGCACATTGAGAGGAAGTGCAGTGCGTAAGAAACATAACTCTATCTTGACTAATTACAGAGTTATTGCCCTTTGTTACTTTTCCTTGTCCGTGGCATAACTTGAAAACTACTGGTTGGAATTCAAAACAACTTCATACAATTGTCAAACACAATAAGGGGAAGTGCAGTACACAAGAACCATAACTCTAGCTAAAGTAATTACAGAGTTATTGCCCTTTGTTGCTTTTCCATTGCCTTCTTTTTTTGTCCGGACCATAACTTGAAGACTAATGGTTGGAATTCAATATAACTACATACAATGGTCAAGCACATTGAGAGGAAGTGCAGTGCATAAGAACCATAACTCTATCTAAAGTAATTACAGAGTTATTGCCCTTTATTACTTTTCCATTGCTTTCTTTTGTCCGGACCATAACTTGAAGACTAATTGTTGCAATTCATTATAACTTCATACAATGGTCCAGCACATTGAGAGGAAGTGCAGTGCACAAGAACCATAACTCCATTTTGACTTATTACATAGTTACTGCCCTTTGTTTCTTTTCCTTGTCCAGAGTATGACTTTAAAACTACTGGTTGGAATTCAAAACAACTTCATACAATGGCCAAGCACAATAAGGGGAAGTGCAGTGCACAAGAACCATAACTCCATCTTGACTAATTACAGAGTTATTGCCCTTTGTTACTTTGCCATTGCTTTCTTTTGTCCGGACCATAACTTGAAGACTTATTGTTGGAATTCATTATAACTTCATACAATGGTCAAGCACATTGAGAGGAAGTGCAGTGCATAAGAACCATAACTCCATCTTGACTAATTACAGAGTTACTGCCCTTTGTTACTTTTCCTTGTCCAGAGCATGACTTGAAAACTAATGGTTGGAATTCAAAACAACTTCATACAATGGTCAAGCACAATAAGGGGAAGTGCAGTGCACAAGAACCATAACTCCATCTTGACTAATTACAGAGTTATTGCCCTTTGTTACTTTTCCTTGTCCAGAGCATAACTTGAAAACTACTGTTTGGAATTCAGTTCAACTTCATACAGTTGTCAAGGACATTAAAAGGAAGTGCAGTGCCCTTTGATACTTTTCCTTGTCCGGAGCATAACTTAAAACGTACTGGTTGGAATTCAAAACAACTTCATACAATGGTCAAGCACAATAAGAGGAAGTGCAGTGCACAAGAACTATAACTCTATCTTCAGTATTTATAGAGTTATTGCCCTTTGTTCTTTTTCTTTGTCTTTCTGGACTTATTACAGAGTAATTCAATTAAACTTCATCAATGGCCAACCACATTGAAAGGAAATGCAACATACATGAACCACAATTATCTTTAATTGCCCACAACCATAACTCTATGTTTCAATTCTATTACAAGGTATTCTGTTACTAGTAACATCCTCATTTACGAAGCAGGCTTGTGGGGGTATTAATCACATTTAGTGATAGTTCTAGTTTCTGTACTGTTATGATATTTCAAGGAGTGAATTTGCTAATTTTTGTACTGTTATGATATTTCAAGGAGTGAATTTGCTAATTTCTGTTCTGTTTTGATATTTCAAGGAGTGAATTTGCTAATTTTTGTACTGTTATGATATTTCAAGGAGTGAATTTGCTAATTTCTGTACTGTTATGATATTTCAAGGAGTGAATTTGCTAATTTTTGTACTGTTATGATATTTCAAGGAGTGAATTTGCTAATTTCTGTTCTGTTTTGATATTTCAAGGAGTGAATTTGCTAATTTTTGTACTGTTATGATATTAGAAGGAGTGGATTGGCTAATTTCTGTTCTGTTTTGATATTTTAGAAGTGGATTGGCTAATTTCTGTACTGTTATGATATTTTAGGGAGTGGATTGGCTAATTTCTGTTCTGTTATGATATTTTAGGAGTGGATTAGCTAATTTCTGTACTGTTATGATATTTGAAGGAGTGGATTGGCTAATTTCTGTTCTGTTATGATATTTTAGGAGTGGATTGGCTAATTTCTGTACTGTGGCAGCTGCACTGTCAGAATTGGGGTATCGAGCTCTGGGTATACGTCTGGATAGCGGTGATTTATCCTATCTGTCACAAATTGTTCGTGATACATTCCGTAAAGTTGCACAGACGTAAGTACATCACATTTACTTTCTGTTTTAAACATCATTTATATGAAATGTCGGAACAAATATGTTTTTAGCAAAGAATTTAATAAAAATTATACTACCAAATCAGTCTTGAAAAAGGTGTTTATACAAATGGACAGTTTATGAATAATAACATTTTAATATCATATCTGGTTTATTTGTAAATACATGTTATATTACAATTTAACTTTCAAAGTTATATTTAAGGTTATATTTTAATTGCAATAATTTTATCATAAACTTTCATTTGTTTTTCTTTGTATATATAAAGTATACAAATACTGATTCATTTACTGTTTACAGAAAACCTGATGTAGCTTTTATGCCCTTCATATTATATTTAGCTCCTGTTTTATTTGATATTATATGTATTAATTCACATATTCCTTATTTTGTGTCTCTGGATGATATTGAATTACCTCCCTTTGTTTCATATATAATTACCTCCCTTGTCTTATTTTTTTTTTTACCTCCCTTTGTCTTTGTTTTCAGTTTTGATCTCCCTTGGTTTGAACATCTTACCATTGTAGCCAGTAATGATATTAATGAGGACACTATCCATTCCTTAAACCAACAGGTATGCAACCATTAAAAACTCATTATTTTCATGATTTTTGAAGGGTTCTTGCTAACCCCCAACCCTCGCCTGTTTCAAGAAGAAAATTCTCCATTCAAGGAGCAAAATAATAGAATAAGTAAAATTATTGGCATTTTGTTATAACTACACTGTTACATTGAAAATTGCATTTTAAATTGTAATAATATGATTGTGCTCATAAGTAAAAAATAAAAGGAGTTTAATTAACCAAATATTTGTTTTCTTTGTCTTATTTTATGTATTTTTTTTGCTGATTTGGTCACTTGGCACAAGTGACCTAGTGCTGAAATAAAAAATAAAAACATTTTATATAATTCATCAGCTGTAAATTTAATGCAAGTTTATTCAACCAACTTTTATTGCATGCCCATGAAAAATGTAGAAAATACAGAAACTATGTATAGGTTGTTAAAACATGTTATTGTCAGTAATTTTTTTTTGTCAACTGGGATTTAATAGGAGTTCCTTACATTAGCAATAATTCCTTATAACAGTGTTCACTATAACAATATTTTGTTATCAAATAAGGATTTGAGCCACATCTAATTGTTCCTTATACTGTATAACCAGAATTTTTAAAACATAATAACCTTAAAGGACATTAATAATGACATGTCTAGGGTATGCCTTTTCTGTGCCTGAAAAGGTGAAAGAACCCTAATTTAACTTAGAATTTATACATATATCATTTTATAAAAAAGAAACATATTATTTTATAAAAAAAGAAACAGTGAAATATAATCTTTTGAAAATCTGAAGTGCCAAAATGTTAGTGTATTGAAATAGGATTAAAAAAACAAGTTAGATTTGCAAGAAATATTCTTTTATAACTCTTCAATCTTATATTAAACTTTAACCTGCTTGGACAGAAAGTGATAAGTCTTTGTTGCCAATATCAATTCAAGCCACCCTGCACATCCAAACAATCTGACAAGGTTCTGTACTGTTGGCTGACTACTTTAAATTTGGTGGTGGTGGTGTTGGTAGTTTTAACTCTTGATCAAGGCAGTACTGGCCACATTGAATTTACCAGCAAACAGTTAAGCCACCACAACATTCCTGGCCGGCTGTCAAGCAGTTTACCAGTACTAGTGCCTTCACTTTTGCAACTTGAATGAACTGATAAGTTTTGTACATTCCAGAGTAGAGGTACAGTGCAAATGACCGGAGAAAGGATTTTATGATCATTCACAATGAAAGTGACCTAAACCCAGGTCACTCGATTCACAGTCCAACACTCTAACTGAGCTAACTGGACGGCCTATACTGTTGGCTGTCTAACTTTTCATATGTTATTTGTATATCCCTGTAAAATGATAATTGGGAAGTGGACAAGTCCATTTAAATTTAAAAGATTAAGTGTAAATTGAAGTTTACAGTGTTGCCATACAGTATTGTTGTTGTGACAAGAAATAACTGTTTATTACAGGGTCATGCCATCAACAGTTTTGGTATTGGGACACATCTGGTAACCTGTCAGAAACAGCCTGCACTTGGCTGTGTATTCAAGGTAAAATATTGTATTATATTTAATTATATATCTACCATTATAATACTATATTGTATTATATTTAGAGTGGTTGGACCAATGCTCGGCATAAAAAAAATATTTCTTTAGAATACCTGAAAATGTTTCAAGTTATCTCTGATTTAGGTCACCGGTGCTTTTATTTACATCTTTCACCATTTTATCCTGGTGTGGTTCACTGCTGGTGAAGTCATGTGACAATGCTACTAGCAGACAAACAACCGTATGTAATCAGCAACATATAAATTAGTAAAATCTTTTAACACTAGAGTTCTTGGGCTGTAAAATTTAAACTAAAAGTTGGGAACTTGTAACTGTATGAACCTTATTTGGTTGTTTCAATTTATTCAATATGTTTTCTTCAAAAGATTAAAAAAGATTTTATTCGAAAATGAAACCAGCATCATGTAGTACTGTACGCCGAGCTATGGTACAATTTCACGCAAACCCCACTTGTTTATCCGGACTGTCTTTAGCCTCTGCCATGTACATCATTATGTAATTAGCGAACTTTACACAATGGCTATTTAAAACATATCATCGCTCTTGAAAATGGACATATAACATTGAGCTTTGTTGACGTTGATTTGAATTTGTCATATCAAATATAGTATTTTTACGCCGAGCGTTAGTCCACCCACACTAATTATATTTCTACTATACATTTGTAACGTCATATTTCATTGGTTAATTGTGATGTTTATATAGTTCTATATACTCGACTGCTGTCAATTCATGAAGACATTTCACTTTTGTCAAAAATCTTTATAACTAATAATAAGTAGTAAAAGTAGGTAAAAAATTACTTGTATAATACACCTGTAAGTTAAAAGTAAAATAAACTGCTTTTAAAATGTATATGAATATACATTTATGGTAAAATATCAATATTATACATATAATAGGTTAAAGGTAAAATATTAAAATTATATACCTCTAAGTAAAGTTGAGCTTAAAAGTTAAAGGTAAAATATCACTAGTATAAACTTTTAAGTTAGATGTAAAATGTTATATATCTATATTAAAGATAAGGGTGATATAATAATTTACACATATAAATTAAAGGTAAAATATTATTGTAAAATACATAATTATGTGCCTATAAATCTTCTATAATAATGTTTTGTTAATTTGTCTTCTAAACTCATAAATTGATATATAAATGAACACTAAGTGACCAATAGAAATATTGAAACATGGTGGAAATGTGTATTAGTTTTCTGAAACAATTGGATATTTTGAGTTTTTATTGTTACAGCTGGTGGAAGTAAATGGCAAAGCTCGTATAAAACTGAGCGAGGACGTAGAAAAAGTAACTATTCCAGGGAAAAAATTTGCATATCGACTTTTTGGACATGATGGTAAGTTTGATTGACCTAGATAACTAAAATTGACCTAGATAACTAAAATTGACTAACTAAAATTGACCTAGATAACTAAAATTGACCTTGATAACTAAAATTGATCTAGAGAAGTTTTGGCAGTGTCCTTGACATAAACCCGGGACCTCTCAATATCTGAAATACTTGTCTTACCTCTTGACCACTCTTTCAAGCGGTATTGAAGTACATGATAATAAATGGGAAATGCTGCAGACCTTTGTTTTTAGATAATATTGGAATAAAACAATCATTGTTTTAAGTCATCTGTTAAATAAACACAGAGTAAATTGTCACTTTAGTGCAATAACTGGTTAACTGCTATTAAATTAAAAAGGACATAACCTGTTACTGCACTAAGGCGACAAAGTCTGTTATAATCATATCAGGTCAATTAGTATTTTGCTAGTCAAAATTGAAATTTTGTGGGCCTCAATTGACCTATTTTAACCACTTAAAATCAAACATTATAATTACAGGTATACTGGATATATTTGTATATCTTTTTTTGTGGTTTCAGGCAATGCTTTGGTAGACTTGATGGTGAAGCCTGACGAGGATCCACCAAAAGTTGGCTCCCGTGTTCTCTGTCGACATCCTTTCCAGGTATGTTATTAAATCTCTGCACTGGGTTCAAATCCCACCGGAGACTTTACATTCTTTCATGTAAGGAAGCTATCCAGCTGTCTTACGGAACATCATTGCTTCTACTCAGTTGCCAGTTGATGCCTAAAATAATGCAAGGAATTGAACCTTTGATCTTCCTCCAATAAAGCATGAATGTCATTTAATTTTTTCTGATTTTCTATCACATCAGTACAAAGACAAGGGCTATCGCTTTCTAGTAGTTAAGGCAGCTTTGGACCCACTTGCCCCTTAACGCTTTGGGTTGACAAGGGTTCCAGATTCTTTGCTACGAGCAAGCCATCAATTTTGCACCCATGAGGTCAGTGGATATACTTGTGTGTTAGATTCATTTTGAAACAATGCACAGAGGGATGGACACCAAAGGTTTTCTTGAACTTATTGAATAAAATGATATAATGCTTGACAAAGGCTCACATCTCTCATTCACTATCATTTATATAAATAATGATCTTTATGTTGTATGTTATAATTACAGGAGTCAAAGAGAGCTTATGTTATACCTGCTAAAGTGGAATGTCTCCATAAAGAATACTGGAAAAATGGAAAGGTAAACCTTTTTATTTCTACTGTTAGATGCTGTTTCACAATATTAAATCTGTTAAACCATAGAGAGCTATATTTAAATCTGTTCCGATACATTTAATTGAGGTAGTTAAAACAAAATTGGTTTCCATTTAGAGATTAATTAAGTATCCTGCAAAAATTCTTCATTTTGTACATTTTTGACATCCATGGCTGTGTGGTTAAGGTCATTGACTTCAAACCACTTTTGTGCATTACTGTGGGTTCAGATCTTGCTAGGGACTTTTGATTCATGTTAAAAGCTATTCAGCTAGGATAAAGCAGAATGTCTGTTCTTCTACCTAGGTGCCCCTTTTGTGTCTGTAATAAAGCACAGAGGGGCACCTGTAGGTATTCCTTTACCAGTTAAGCTGTCAAGTCACCATATGACCTTAACATTGTTGAACTGACATAAAATTCAACCAAAAGAAAATTTGATTTTGTATGGAAGAAAACTCACAGGTCATGTTTGAAATAATTAATGATTTCTTCCCTTTATTGTCAGGCAAACCAGGATAAAGATTTACCTCCCTTGAGTGAACTGAGGGCCAAGGCTATATCTGCGATGAAATCATTGAGACAGGACCACAAAAGAGCTCTGAACCCTACACCATATAAGGTAAGCCATAAGTCACTCATAAAGTGACTCCACTGTGGGTTGTTTTTTGTGGACATAATGGGACAGGAAATTTTTTTTGTTGAGATTTATGTATCATTTGATGTCCGTCTTGACCAATTACTTTTGTGCAAAATTTCCGATCATTCCTTTACTCCCTTTTTCCAGAATAATTATTCTAACTGTGAAAAATGACCAAAATTTGACTCAAATCCGGCTTAAAATAGCATAAAAATATGAATTTTAATTTATTTCCGAGTATATTTATTATCTTTTGCACTTCTTTCTGTTTTAAGTGCACAGCAGATCTATATAACAAATTCAAATTTTATGTTTTTAGGATTTTGGACCTTCCTGAATTTGTTACTCATAAGACTCCCTTAACTTGTTGAATTTATGTACTGGACATTGTAATTTGTGGAACTGTCAAAAGTCATTTTTTTTTATATTACAAATTTGAAATTAGTGAAACAATAGGAAAGAGCCTGTGGACAAGATTTGTTGCGGCTATTAATCATGACTAGTTAATAGTCTCTATTGATTTTGAGGTTAGTTGGTCAAAGGTCAAGGTCACTGTGTCTAGCATGTGTTTTCGGTATGTTATCATATGTATATAAACAGCTGATGTGTTTTTGATAATTATGTGAAGTCCAGATAAATGTTTAGCAGGTGGTATGTTAATGTGTAGGAAAGTTGTGTGTTGAATTTTGTTTTCAATATTTCAGGTGTCGTTGAGTGAGGAGTTGTATACATTCATGCATAATTTATGGCTGGAGAATGCTCCTATAGGTGAACTGTCATAGGTATCAGGAATGTTGTCATGGCAACCAGTATGTTGAAGTATTTGTTTTACATTTATTTACTGTGTTACAAAAAAAACTTATACAACGTGGTGTTTTTACTTTCATGCAAGTCATAAATAAAATCTTTTTCACTTTACTAATTTTCAAAATGCAAATATCAGTTGTGTGACAAATGAGCATCTTTTTGGAAAACTTTAAAAAATGAAAATAATAGCATTTTTTTTAAAGGCTTAATGGGCCTTTAATTCAGCTGAATATATTTTAAACACCATAAGAATTTGTAACAGAATCATGATCAGTGTTTATTGTGGATCAAGTGGGGAAGCTGTTCAATTAATTTTCTAAAGTGATTTTTTTTAATTTTTATTTTATTGGGTTAAACATCCCACAAACATAGAAGAGGTCATAATGCGACCCTCTAGCTTTACTGGTATAGAAAGACGTCAGGTCCCTTACCAAGTATCATTTCAAATATGAACAGGTACCTGAGTAGAACCACCAATGTTACATAAGCTGAATAGATTCCTCACATGAAAAAAATTCAAAGTCCCTGACAGGATTCGAACCCACAGCTTTGAGGGTCAAGTGGTTTTAAATCAAACACTTAAACCACTTGGGCCGCAGACACAGTAGTTCTACTAAGGTGCTTCCCATATGTTTTCTTAAAATAATTAACAGAGATCCCCTTGGCTTTCTCTGTACAGAAAATCTGAAAATTTGATATATATTTCAGTCTGACTGAAGAATAAAGCTTAACCTTAAAGAAGATAAAAGTTTTTTACATTTTAAATGTGTATTTATATAATTACAGCTGAAAGTGTTTCTCGAAACCAAGTGCAAAATTTCAAGAGGAGTTACGTGTTATTTATGGGAGTGCCACATTTTTAGGATTGTTTTTGTTTACACAGTTGTGATAGAAGATTTTTAGATTTGTTAGAGGATCATTTTGTGATGTGGTCACATCTGTTATAAATGTTGTTCTATTTATAGACATGTTGTTCTATTTATAGACATGTTGTTCTATTTATAGACATGTTGTTATAATCATGGACTTTAAAAAAAAATATACAGAGGGAAATAACTATTACTTACTAAATATTGTTCTATTTATAGATGTTTATTTCTTAATAAAGACATTTTAAAAATGGTATCAACTTCTACTTGCTTAAGAAATGGTATATTATTTGTAGACTTATTTTTCTAAGTAGAGATATTTTAAAAATACTACCAAGGGAAAGAACTCTTATTTTATAAAGAAATGTTCTATTTATAGACATGAAATTCTAAATATAGACATTTATAAAATACTTCCAAGGTAGATAACTTTCGCTGACTTTACAAGTTAGTGTTTATCCATAGTAAATTTTTATTTTACTGACATAAAATCATTTAATGGAGAAATATTTTGAAATGTTAATTAATCTTAGATTATGTTGTTAAAAGTACAATGTTTATAGTTGCTTTAAATGTTGTGGAGTAATGCTATATGTTCTACATGTACATTAATATGTTGATTTTATGGTTAAAATGTATTAAGCTATATGTCTATCTCGTGCCTGTAATTTATGAAATTATTTTCTTAAATACTTTCAAACTACCTGTATGAAAGACTTATGTTTGTATATTTCCTTAAGAGCAAATGGTGTGCATAGTAAATCGTAACTTTACAGTTAAATACCTAAATAGTATAGCAGCATAATAGTTTGTTTTGGAACATTTGATTTTGTTTTGGAACATATGATTTTGTTTTGGAACATATGATTTTGTTTTGGACCATTTCATTTTGTTTACATACAATCTATATGATTGTTAAAGTGACATTATGCCCATTCAAAGGTATGTAGTGAGTTTAAAGTGGAAAGTCATGTCACAATAAGTTTACATTTTCCCATAAATACTTTCAATTTTATAATTAACTTTGCTTTAACGATAAATAACTCACATTGCCCAAGAAAAAATCTGTAAATATCCATCAGAATTAACGGTAACATTCAATTTATAAAATAAGTGGGGCAATTTTTTTTTATTTTTTAGTTTGATTTATATTTTATCCTTAACTTTTTGTTTTAATATCAACTATAGGACAATTACCATTATAACACTCAATGTTTAAAAATATATATATAGTTAATTCAACTCAACTTGACAATGAAAAAAATGTCAGCTAAATTATAGACTCATTCTATATTTCAACAACTCTTTAAAAAATCAACCGTAAGATTATAGATACAACATGATTTTACTGTTTAATAATCTAAAAATAAATATATACCATTAGATATAGCTTTATGCCCTTTAAAATGGTCATTTTAGGATATTTTTTTGTATGAAACACATGTACTGTATTAATTATGAAGTAAAAATAATGTTGTTTTTAGACTTTTTGTGTGAAACACTGTATTGGTTTATATGATTTAAGGTTTATTTTTAAAATTTTGTATAAAACACTGTATAGATTATTTAGTATGTTTAGGGAAAAAAATCTATGACAGAATGTATTAATTATTTGACTGAAGAAATGAAATTAATTATTTGACTGAAGAAATGAAGAAAAAAAATCTAAATTTTTTATGCAAAATGCCAATACAGGCTGAGTAATATTTGGCTGAAAAATAAAAAGAACACACACACACATACATGCAGGCAAAACAGAACATCTGAAATCTTATATTGATTATTTGAGCCGTGTCACGACAAAACCAACATAGTGCGTTTGCGACCAGCATGGATCCAGACCAGCCTGCGCATCCGCGCAGTCTGATCAGGATCCATGCTGTTCGCTATCAGTTTCTCTACTTGTAATAGAGTTGGTAAGCGAACAGCATGGATCCTGATCAGACAGCGCGGATGCGAAGGCTGGTCTGGATCCATTCTGGTCGCAAAACCATTATGTTGGTTTTGTCGTGACACGGCTCATTTGTTTTTACATTTTTCATATGAAATTAAATACTCTGTAAATTAATTGATTTAATATTATTTTTCATTTTATATTTTATAAGAAATACTGTATTTATTATTTTGTAAAAGGTATAAAAGACTTTTGTTAGATGAAATGCAGTTAAAATTATTTGATGAAAAAAAAATTGACTTGTTTATCATATAATAAACTGTTTACCTAGTGTAGATGATTTGGCTAAAAATGTGTTTAACATTTGTATTTTTAAACCTTTTAATGTAAGTTTTTTTGTTTATGGTTTTTGAGATTTTCTTAATGAAATGCTGGATCGTGCAGTTTTACATGTAAGTTTTTGCAAATGCTTGACAAATGAGCTTCTTTAATGCAACATATTTTTTAAAAAAACACGTCCAAGTTAAAGAAAAACATATTTTTTTGATATTTACAATAAACAAGGACGATATGCCTCCATAAACATGTTTATACAATGTATATTCCCAGTAACATTGATGACATTCATATGAAAAATCAGTATTATATTTTGAAAATTATTTTGTAATATTCAGACTTTTCAGTATATATCCATTTAATATGCGGGTATTTACATTTTATATATCATATTAACTCACTAATAAGACTTGTTTTTTGGCTTTAATTCAGGGGATAAAAGCACTCACCTAGACTTATAAAGGCGTCATGTAATTAAAGAAAGTTCTGATTAGTTAGTATACATTAAAATGATATAAAGCTATAATCAGCTGTCTTTAATTCTTACCACCCTAAATATCTTGAATGGACTTGTCCATTTTTTAATCTGGTCAAAAACATTCATCATTTGTATGGAAATTTTCTGAACATTTTCCGAATATCCAACAATACAAACAGTGATCAAACTGCCAGGATGTATCAGCTGATTATGGTCTGCCCTGGTTCCATGTGTAAAATATGTTGCTGCCACCAAACTCAAGATTAATGGTTATGATATTTGATAAAATATTAATTGTATTTTGATGATAAAGATCATACCAAGGTCCAAAAACTGATTGACAAATGACAAAAGTTTCTAATTGTAAATTAAATTCCTGATAAAAGAAATAGTATACGGTATGTTATAAAATCTCCCGAAAATTTTTTTTTTTGATATGGGTTTACTCTGTTTTCATTATGTTTTTTAAGAGTGTTGAATACAGAGGTTCAATAAAAATGTTTCTGGAAATTACATAATATGGAATGAAGAACTTCACAGTTTTTGACTTGTTTATAGAATATTTCACTTCTAAAAGCTTAACATGCTTTAAAGGATTATAATTTAAAGACCCCTGTCTTTTTAAAGAGCTGACTTATGGGCAAGTAAATATGTATATGTATATAACCTAATCAAATTTCATATTTGAGCCGCGTCATGACAAAACCAACGTAATGCGTTTGCGACCAGCATGGATCCAGACCAGCCTGCGCATCCGCGCAGTCTGATCAGGATCCATGCTGTTTGCTATCAGTTTCTTTACTTGTAATAGGATCTGTAAGCAAACAGCATGGATCCTGATCAGACTGCGCGGATGCTGGTCGCAAACCCATTATGTTGGTTTTGTCATGACACGGCTCATTTATATTTCAAGCTTTTACCTTAATGTTAGAATTTTATACAGTTATGTATTTTAATCTACATGTCATTACTTTTACTAACATGTTCTCAATCAAATTTACAAAATTATTAAGTTTCACGAGTGTGCACATCTGTGTAGTCTGACCTGGACCTATACTGTTGTTCTACTCAGATTTAACATTAAAATATTGTAGTTGATCTTAGAACTGTTACAAGCTTAAGAATGCACAAAAAACATAGACAAGTATTATCATGTTCGGTAATAGAATTTTAATTTAAGTGATATGAAGAATTTATTGTTATATTATACTAGTACAAAATGTACTAGTAAACAATATTATTCATCTTGTGGGAGAAAATGTTTTAAAAAAACACAAGAAAGGCTTACTTTTGAACAGTTTGTTTAGTGGGTCTTTACAAAACTTATGTAAATCAGACCCATGGAGTCCAAGTTGTACTTGCCATGGATCTCTGACCATAGACTTATACTATACAAAAAACGATTGTAATTTTGTTTTAAAATACAGCTCTTGTGTGAGGTTGTATTGGTAGTTTTTCAGGCTTGCCTTATTGTTCTGTAAAGAGTAAAAGACTGGGTGACATGTGCAATTATAGTTACCTTCCCAGTCACATTTTAGCTTGTTTATTTGAAGAGTAGGGAGAGCTATTGTACTTACCGAGGGTCTTCATTTCTGTCACACTTTTGTTAAGTTTTTGCTGGCAAGTTGGTATCTCCAAATCTAATGAATGGAATGGGTTGAAACTTCACACGGTTGTTCTTTGTGATGGGCACAGGTCCCATAACTCTGAGTAACTTGTCACTGAGTTATGCCCCTGTTCTTACATTAAAGCACTGAGAATAATCAAGTGCACTGTCTTACAGACAGCTCATGTTTTAAAGAGTTAGATTAAGGTAGATTTTAAACTATTGAAATTTCTCAAATTTCCACATATGCCGGATATTTTTTCACAATCTATGCCATGGATCTTTTACCGATAATAATTGAAAAAGATCCTGTTTTGTATATTATATGGTTTGTAAAAAAATATTGTAGTCAGCACTTTTCATTTGTGTTGTTTTAAAGTTTACAATATTTACATTAAGCTGCTTGCAGTTCTGTTAATATCTTTTTTCTTTCAACAATATAAATACTTCCATGATAGCAGGTTTACTTTTTGTATTCTAATGGCAATAAAACTTGTATATTCTACCAGTACAGAACGAGGTCAGCCTTCACCTACGTGTAGATTGACCATTTACAATATTGTACAATCCTTAATGTTATTTTATTAATATTGAAATCCTTCATGTATAACCCTTACCTTGTTTAATGACTTTAAATGGACTTTAAAAGGGATATTGTTTGGGGGTGGGTTCTAAAAATAAAGGTGGATATTGGATACATTTTATTAAGAAATAAGAATATTCTTCATGCATGGTTTTATAAGGAAAATGAGTGATTATATATGTATTTTACTGTTTATGATAATAATTTTTTATTTCTACTTAATTTCTGCTGTTAGATGAAATAATATAATTATTCAGTTTGTGATATACGGTGGTTAAGATATATAATGTGTGATGTACAGTGAGTAATATACAGTGTGAGTGATACATCACAGGTAATATATGGTAAGAAGAGATTAATGAGTGATAAACAGTTGATGATACTTGATGAATGGTACACAATGAGTGATAAATGGTGAGTGATACAGTGAGTGATATACAGTGAGTGATATACAGTTAGTGATATACGGTGATTGATATCCTAAGAGTGATATATGGTGTGTGATATACGATGAGTGATATCCCATGAGTGTTATTCAGTGAGTAATATACTATGAGTGATATATGGTGAGTGATATCCCAATGAGTTACATACGGTGAGTGATATCCAATTAGTGATATCCAATTAGTGATATACAGTGAGTGGTATACAGTGTATGTATGGTGAGTGAAACACTGTGGGTGAAATCCTGTGAGTAATAGACAAAACGTGATAATGGTGAATTGAGTATATACAATAAGTAATGCACAGTGAGTGATTTTTAATGAGTAATACACAGTGAATGATATACAGTGAGTGAAACACTGTGGGTGAAATCCTGTGAGTAATAGACAAAACGTGATACATGTTGAATTGAGTATATACAATAAGTAATGCACAGTGAGTGATTTTTAGTGAGTGATGCACAGTAAGTAATATACAGTGAGTGAGACACAATTAGCATAAAACTGTGGCTGATATCGCCTAAGTGATACACACTATAGTGAGTGAAATACAGGCATATAAAATACAGCTCACTTCTGTTTAGCTTGTTTTATTGTTTTTGTAAAATAATGTTACCCAGTACTTAGTATAATGGGGCGTCCGTGACCGAGTGGTTAGGGTCGTTGACTTCAAACCATTTTCCCCTCACCGCTGTGGGAATGCGGTGGTTCTACTCAGGTGCCCGTTCGTGCCTGAATAATGCACGGAAGGGCACCTGAGGTCGTCCTCTGTCAGTAAAGATGGAATGTCACCATATGACCAATACTGTGTCGGTGTGACGTAAATCCCAATCAAACAAACTTAGTATATTGATATGAAAGTCTTGAAAAATTGCATAGTTTAAACGATTTATTGTTTGAGATAAACCAGTATGTGTTATTTTAGTGTTAGCCAATCGAGGGTCACCAAGGAATTGGTTAAACGCCTGTAACATGTTATTTCTTTATCATTTTACAATTTTTATTTAATTTTATTTTACCAGCAATGATAGTGATAGATTAATATGATGTATAGATAGATAATGTGCCATCATGATAATCAATAGGGGCAAAATAAATTAAATGTTAGAACTATTTCTGTGTTTTGTTCAATCTCTTCATTTTTTGTTCTTTACATGCGTTCTTCTTTTCGGAAAACAGAAATAATTGTCCATGTACGGAAAGGATGTCTCTGATAACATGTACGTCAAATCGGTGCTTCAGTTTTAAATCCGTCCTCGATATCCATATCCGAATTTTGATGGTACCAGTTATACAGGGTGTATGCACTAATGACGTAATATCGACCATTACGATTGTGCGTGATAGGTAACGACCTTAAGATAAAGTAAATCAGAGAAATGATAATAATTAGTAATGTAAGTCAAACATGATTTTCATGTCAAGAGGCCAAATTTAGTGTGAGAAATAGATTAAAGCCAATCTGTCGAAGAACGTAAATTACTTGATAACGCTTTGCCCTGGCAGGTAAATAACGTGATTTCCTTACCTTACAACTCGTGAATTAATGGGTTCTACGTTCTCTTACATAAATGATAAAATTTGCCCGATCAGAAAAAAGGTCGACCCGATCAGAATAAAATGTGAAAAAAATCGACCGGATTGGAAACAAGAATAGTACAAGCGGCAGAACTGGTAACTATTAGAAAAGAACTGCATGCTACGATCTGCAAAATCAAAACAGTACTGGTGATCGGCCCGATCAGAAACATATAACTTACAGTCAGAACTGGATATTCTTATCGTATGTCCCAGAGTCAGAAACAGAACCGGAAACAATCTGCCCGATCAGAAATAAAACTTTTAGATCAGAAAGAACGAAACAGAACTAGTAACAATCAGAAAAAGAACTGGTTTCAATCAGAAACAAAACTGGTAACAATCGACCTAATCAAAATAGAACTGGTGACATAAGCTAGGTTCCGATCGGAAAGACAAATGTTCAGTCAGCTCGGTTAGAACTATCAATTATAGTTATTTAGAGTTAAACAAATCCGGGATGAAAATGGTTATTATCAGCCCGCTTAAATCATTTAAAAATGTTACTTTCAACCACGATGAGGAAAAGACATTTGTACAATTGACCCGATCAGAAATCGACACTGTTGTAATGATTGATCTGATCAGAAATAGACATGATTGCGATTGTTCTGAAAAATGATATAAAAATGGTTACAATCGGCGTAATCAGATGTAGTATTACAATAGAAACGATAGATTAAGACACGAGTATAAATTGCTGGATCAGTTATTGGAGTAATAGTTGGTACTCTAGTTTAATTGGTTTAATGTACAAAATCTTTTTAATACTTAAAAAAAGTATTCGGTTGATCAATGTACTCCCCCCCCAACCCCCCCCCCCCCCCCCCCAAAAAAAGAAAAAAAGAAGAAGAAGCAACAAAGCCAGTAGAAAAAATTGCGTTGCCTTAATTAATCCACGTCGACTACGTGGTCGTGGTCGAAAAAGGATTTATAAACAAAAGTTATGCTGTTAACTCCATTATTATTACATCGTTGACAATTAGATAATACTATTACTAATATGTTTCTACTGATATTAGTGAGCGCGGTAAGTCAATTAGAAACTTAGTAATTATTTATTTATGGCAATGTTTTATTAACTTTAAAGGCACGTTATATTACTCAGAAACGAATGCATCTTTTTCTTATTTAGAACGGACAAACTTGAGTTTTAAAAATGTTTAAATACTGATTTTAGAGCATGTTAGATGCTTATTTTATGAAAAGAGT